GTCGCCGCTGGCTTGGACCCCATCCTGAACATGTCCGAAGCCCAGAGAAGACAAGAATGGATTCAGGTTGATCCCGAACTCCGCCGTGTTCTTCGTGTACTACATGTCAACTTTGGCCATCCAACGAACACCACCATGATCAGGATCCTCCGCAGGCAAAACGCCAAGCCAGAGGCCCTTCGAGCAGCCTCTTTACTGTCATGTGACTCCTGTGGCGAGAGCATTAGAAGGAGGAGGCCAAAACCGGTGAGACTTCCTGGAAGCTATGTTTTCAACTCTCACCTCCAGCTGGACGTGATGTACTGTCGAGATGCCAAAAATGTCCAGTTCGCCTTCCTCAACATCATTGATGAGGGCACCTCCTTCCAAGTGGTCACCTGTCTTGGAGAAGTTCACGGACCACCTGCTTCCAAGGCAATCCTCAGGCACTTCCTCACTTCTTGGTCTTCCTGGGCTGGACTTCCCCGAACGATCCAAGTTGACCGTGGCCGTGAGTTCATGGCTCACTTTGCCGACTACCTCAAGCAGTTCGGCGTTGAGCAGGAGGCCATGCCACTTGAAGCCCCATGGAAGCAAGGAAAGGTTGAGAAGGCTGGAGATCTTTGGAAAGAATTGATGAAGAAGGTCGTGCACGAGTCCCAGATCACCGGACTTCAAGACATGATCACTGCCACCGCCATTGTGACACAGATCAGGAATGCTCATCCAAGATCCAATGGCTACTCTCCAAACCAATGGGTCCTTGGGATCCCAGAGGTGAGGATTCCTGGCGAACTCCGAATTGACCAGGATGCTGAACGTCTTGAACTGCTAGAAGCAGCTGAAGATCCACAGTCAGCCATGGCCAAGAACCTGGCTATCAGAGAAGCCGCCAAGGTAGCTCAGATCAGGCTGGACGCTGACAGCCGAATTCGCCGAGCTCTACTACATCAATCCACTCCGACGAGATGCCTTTCCTGACATCAACAAGGCCGTTCAGAGGCTTCGCATGAGCCGCATTGCTGGTCAACCTTGGACCGACAGTGAAGAGTCTGAGATTGAAGAGTACCAGATCAACGACAACCCCAAGATCGCAGATGCCTTCCTCACCGGCAGTGCAGTACGCACTGAAGTGAACATCTACCACCTGTCGCCAGAGGACAGGAAACTGTTTGATGCTGCAATGGCCAAAGAATGGGCATCATGGCAGAAGTTCCAAGCCGTTGAGGTGCTCACTGAGGAGCAGATTGAGGCCCTTCCTGGCGACACCCAGATCATTGGAACACGCTGGGTACACGTGGACAAGAACAAGAAACCACGACTTATGGCCGCAGCAATGTCAAAGAGAACAAAGAAGACAAAAGAACAGATTCAAAAGGAGTTTCCCTTTGAGGCCAAGTCGAGGATTGTTGTCCAAGGCCATCAAGAGGCCGACACTGGCATCCGCTCCGATTCACCTACAGCATCACTGCTTGCGTTCAATCTCATTTGCGCCATCTCCACCATCAAGAACTGGGAGCTCGTCGCTTGCGATGCGTCCACTGCATACCTGCAGTCCCAAGGCATCAGCAGACTGCTGATCTTGAGGCCTCCGAAGCCTCCACCTCCGGGGATCAACTCCACAGATCTCCTGAGGGCCAAGGGCTCCATCTACGGCACTAGAGATGCCGGGAGGTCTTGGTGGAAGAAGCTGTTCTGCACAGTTCAAAAGTATGGCTGGCGCATGTCATCGATCGAGCAGGCCCTCTTCTACCTGTTCATCGAAGGAGAGCTCACTGGAGTCATGGCCACACATGTTGATGACCTCTTCTGCACCGGCGCCGGTGAAAGGTTCCACGAGACGATCAAGATCCTCGAGACCGAGATCCACTTGAAGGTCAAGCAGAACGACTTTAGGTTCTGTGGAAAGAATGTGAAGAGGATCAACGGCCATGTCGAGCTCGACCAGATTGACGCCATCGAAGGCATGGACTACATCATCCTCAAGCCTGATCGACGGAAGCTTCCAAATGCCCCACTCACCGAAGAGGAGAAGTCAGACTTCCGTGGCTTGATTGGATCAATGGGCTGGGTCACCAGGCAAACCAGGCCTGATCTGACCGTGAACGTCAGCTTGGCTTCACAGACCATGGGCAGCCCAAAGATCAAGGACATCTCATCGAGCTCAACAAGGCAGTGAAGATGTTGAAGGACACGGCAGACGCCAAGTTCGCCTTCCATCCACACGAGAAGCTCGCGTGGGATGATGCCATCGTCTGCGTGTTTGCAGACAGCAGCTTCGCCAATACGAAGTGACAATGTGGCTACATCGTCGGCCTCACCATTCCAGAGATCAAATCTGGAGCTGAAGTGCCGCTGCCGCTGCTGCTTTTGGAGGCCTACTCAGGCTCAATCAAGAGAGTGTGCAGGAGCACACTTGCTGCTGAGGCCAATGCCTTCCTCATGGGCACCGAAGCTGGCGACTATGTGCGTTCGCTGCTGCTGGAGCTGAAGAACCCGGGCCTGAACATCCGGGAAGTGGAAAGCGAGCTATCACGCCCGCTGCTGGTGGCCCTGACAGATGCCAAATCCCTCGAATCCACCATCGTGAAGGATGCCGGGCAACCAAGTGACAAAAGGGTGAAGATCCTAGTCTCTCAAATCAAAGAGATCTTAGGCTACACCAACTACGAGGACAGCAACCAACAAGCTGTCTGGTGCGACACCGCACAAATGCTTGCAGATGTGCTCACGAAGCACGGCTGCGAGAGGGAGCCACTTTTGAATGTGATGGCTACAAGCCGATGGACGCTAGAGCCAAGCGACGAGGCTCGCGCCCGAAAGCAGGCCATCCGTGAAGGACGCCATATATGCGCAAAGCAGCCAAAAAGGCTGATGGTGTTTCTGCCTGTCCACCTACCGAGGGGAGTGAAACGGACAAGCGCCACGAGCATGGTAGCTAAGCATGACTAGGTTGACAGGCACGAAGTATCCCCGCTGTTTTCCGAGAGCGCTCTTTTCATCAAGAGGCAAAAGCTGCCACGCTTCCGCCGCGCCGTCGGACGGATTCTGACCAGGTAAAGTGAGAAAGCTTTTGCCCAACAGATTGAGTCTCCTAGCTCCGATGTTTCCCCAACCGTTTTTTGAAAAGAGGTATGAGCTCTTGGCCCGACGAGTTGCAGCCACGCAGCAAGCGCAACAAGTGCCAAGGAGCAGCGTGAAAAGCTCAGCTCCAGCTCTAATGATGCTTTTCTCATTTAACAATATCCTAGTAGCGTCCTTGCTCCTAGTAGTAAGGCCAGGAGCCCCTAATCGTGTCCGTGCTCCTAGTAGCGATGCCCTTTGCTCCTAGTAGCGGCCTTGTTCATTGGGCAAGCCTTCCGAGATGTTTGTGGTCAACTGAGATGGCCGGCAGCATTGATCTCAGCGATCTTCGGCGACGTTGCTTAGAGGCAGCTGGGTTGAAAGGCACTTCACAGAATGTGCTATGGCAAACCGGGGAATTCATCTCGACCAGCTGCGATGAACCTGTGTTGCTGGCACTTGCACCATGCCGAGCCGGAGGGTACATCAAGATGCAATGGCGAAGACGTCGTTGAGTGCCCAAGCCTTAGATGGGATAGAGGCTGAGTCCAAACAAGCTGAGCGTTCTGCTTTCTGCAGAGATTTTGAGTGTTTTACAGTAGTTGCTCACGTTCTTCGATTTCTTTGTTTGCATGAGGTGTGGCGTGTCGTCCTGTTAGAAACTCAGAGAACGACAGATCAGGAAGCTTGAATGTAGAAGTTGACGACGTGAGGCCTGTACACCTCTTTGTGGCTATGGCCGAGCCTAGCTGAGTGATGCACTATTTGGTTGCCATTCGTGAAGTCCTTGGATTATGCTCGAGTCGCAAGCTGAACCCCTGCCGTTCTGTACATTTGTCTAAAGGGACTGGGTTCCAGCTTTGATGACTCAGCGACAATGGTTCTCAACCTAGGCAGCTGTCAAAGAAACTTTGGAAAGCTGCTTGTATATATGGTGATGTTTGGTTGAACTTCCACCATCACACTGGTTGATACCAGTAGGTGCGATCAGCTGTAAACTCCTCAGCTGCATGATCGGAAGGGTCGCAGTCCAATATTTCGCTTCATTTTTTACTGCCTCTGGAGCGGTTCCCGTGTTTGGTTTCCAAGAGGCAGACAGCAGACTGATGAACAGCTGAAACGCCTGTCTCTTTTGATCTTGGGTTGTGCTGAGTTCCTTTCTTTGTTTGGAGGCATGCCAGGTCTTCCTGTATTTTCAGATGCCGGCTGCGTGGCTATGCCGAAGGCAAAGCCGCACAGCTGAGAACAGGTTCCCTTGGAGTTGCATCCGACAAAAGTCCGGGAATAGGCTTTGCAGGTAAGAGAAGATTAGCGAAATGACCCTTGTACATGTTTGCAGCAGGACCAAAAGACTCTTCTCATCTCTTCTCTGTTTAGACTTATGAGAAAATCTGCCAGCCACAGACTGGAATTGTTAAAATATTTATTTTTTCAATTATTTATCTTTTCTGTTATCCTGGGGGTAGTGGTGTTGGTTTTCATTATATTATCATTGCTCATTCCTGTGATCCTGGGAATTATGGTTGGGCCTGGTGTGTGGTTTTCATTATTTTATCATGCTTTTGTTGTTGCTATCCTGTGGGGTATGGCAGGGTGTTGACTTTCCTTCTTTTGCATCCTAAAGAATGGCCTTGACACAATTGCAATAAAACTTGTCAAATGAAAAGCAGTGCAGCGGCATTGTTGTTTTCTTCTGCTCTCACAGGTCTCGGAATCTCACTAGATTCTAGATCGATCTGGGTGCGCGTAGCAACATTCAAAGAAGCAAACAACATAATTCCTAAGGTCCTAGGGCCTAGGGTTGAGCGTGGACATGAACATGGCCAGATTATACAATACTTGATTCTAGATTCCTAGATCCTGCAAAACAAAGGTTCTTGCTACAGCCTTCTCCAAATCCATTGCCAAAATGCCTCAATGTTTGAGGTCTTTAGTGCAATGACAAGGCATTGCAGTCTTTATTGCAAAGCCTTTTGCGTCAACTGCATCAGGCATGGAGCAATGTCTAAAGTAGACACGCCAAGCCCGTTGCTGGAAATGAATGACTGTTCCTGCTTCAGGATTCCCAATGCCTTGGCAACCGCGGCTTCATCACCCGAATCCTTTGCCCCTGCAAGCTGTTTTAAGCCTTTCAGCATGAAGACTTCGGTCACATAGCTTTTCGCAAGCACTGCGTCCTGCCTGACCTCAGCTAGCAAAGCGCTCAGATTGGACATAGCCTCAGTTGAACCTTCACTCTTCACTTGGTCAGTGTAGTCTTGGAGAAACTTCTCGATCTCGCACTGGACCTGGATAGGGTCAAAGTCAATCAAAGTCAAGCCCTCTCATGTTACTACTAAGATTGTTCATTGAGAAAATGACTTTGAAGAATACAATACAATTCAATACAGGACTGATACTGACACCGTTCCTGCGCAAGGGAATGTGCAGCAAGCAGTGTGCAGTGCAAAACAACTTCAACAACCCCACTATTGGGACAATCCGATAAGAGAGATCAGATCTCAACATATCTCAACAGAGCTGTGTTGTGTGTCGGGGATATGAAGAGAATAGAGGCCATAATTGGCCAGTCTAGGGCCTAGAGTGTATTGTTATTTGATATCTTAAGTCTTACGCCTTACGCCGTGATGCTCAAAAGCTGCACGGTTTGCAAAATTGACTGCCAAGGGACATACTTCTTCAGGAGTTTGTCAGCCAGGGCGTCATGCATGCAAGAAGGGACATCAAGCAAGCGCTTGGCACCACCATCCTCCAAAGCAGCGAAAACTAAGAAGGGACAGGTGCTTCTTGGAAGTCGCAGCAGAATGTGGATTGATGTCACGCCAGCACTGACCATTCGAAACTTCTGTGACTTTAATTTTGCAGTGTAAGCCTCAGGAACTATTCCTTCAGGTTGAGCGTAAAGAAGGCCAAGCATGCCATTCAATGTCTTTTCAACATCCTTCCCACGTAATGCCTCCAGCACAGGAAAACTCTTTTCCTGTTGCTTCCCACTTGCCACCTTCACTTGTTGTTTCTTTTCAAAGGATGGCCCTCCAAGTTGTAAGAACTTGTACATGAGTGAAAGAAGCAATGCAGCCACAGGCTTGATAATGGCCAACCGATGAAATGGTCGTGACTGAAGCCACAGTGCAGCCTTCTTCTTTGATTGTTGCTTCTTCTTTGCCCAATCCTCAGGCTCGTCCCCAACAGGCTCCTCTTGCTGAACGGGCCCGCTTTCACTTGCCCTGGGCGCGGGCGCAGGTACAGGTGCAGAAAGTTGTTGGTCAAAAGACACAGCAAACAGTGCATCCCACTCATCCCGATTCATCTCACCATCTTCCACCATCTTCTGCGGCTCAGGCTCAGTGAAAGCACTTGTTTCAATGTTCTCTGAGGTTGGAGCTCCAGTCACTTCTGCAATCAACTGTGATAGCAAGCCATGGCAGCCTTCTATCAAGCCAGCCCAATCAATGGCTGCATCCCATCGAGTCCAGCGAGACCGTGGAAAAACTGGAGCCTGACAGGGCACCAATGCCCAACAACACCAAACAGCAAAGGTTCGCAGGGTTGCTTCTGCATTCTCGCAGCAGTTGTACTTGCAGTAGTGCTGCACCTCATCTGTTCTGTACAGGTGACCGTTCATTAGTCGTTGGATGACAAAACGCCGAACTTCACGCTGCTTTGCACGGGCAGGGCTTACTCCAGTCAAAGGCAGAAAAAGGTTGAATAGGTCTTCCTTGTACTTCGCTGCTTTTGAGTGCGGAACATCTATGGGTGCCTCACCAGAGTAGTAAACCACAAGCTTCCTTGAGAATATTTTGCACAAAGCTTGTCTGAACGTGGCTACTGACCCACTCTCAGACCATCCGAGGGTCAGGGCTAAAAGCCCGGATGCATCTGCGTCTGCCACAGACATGCTGGATTTGGTCGCATTGTAAAGTTTGTGTATGTCACAGAACAAGTGGACAAGCGGCTGTTTTGACCAAATCTCACTGAGCCCTCGTTCAGCTGAGATGTTCGCAGCATACTTGTCCGTGCAGGTATGCCTCAGGGAGAAAGTCCAATTAGGGTCATCAGCAACATCTTTGAGACCAGGTATGCTTCTCAAAACTTGCTCCAAACACTTCAATGTGTTCTGACCGGTCGTTGATTGCACTGCGAAGAGTGTTGTTGGCATGATGCCCTGGACTGCGTTGAACTGTTTAGCCCTCGAATTGTACAGCAGCATGCTCAGTGACATCTCCACCTGCATTATTTTGGCATGCAGGGATGCTGCCTCTGATGGCATGGCCTCTGCTAGTTGCTGCAGAGATGCTGACTCCAGATTCACGATTTCATCCGTGGAGTCTTGGACTCTCACTCTTGTTGGTGTCTCATCATACCGCAGGCGAACAATGAAGGCAATGGGCTGTACAATGCTCTCTGAAGAAGACCACATTCTTTGCAGCGCAAACAAGAATGTTGCCCAAAGATAGGCACAATACTCCAACATTGCTGATGCAATTGAGATCACCCGTAGTCGCACACCGGTTTCTTTCACTTTATCCTCCAGCACACGAGCGCTCATCGAAGACATAGCAGAATCCAGCTGATGTTCCACCAAAGGGTCTTCTGGACCAATTTGTTCCTGGCAGCATTTGACATAGGCCCTAGCCAAATCCTGGTGCAATTCCTGCCCAACTTCAACCAGCATTTGCATAGGCCCAAATTCAACAAGTGCGTTCATTCCACACTCTGCAGCAGAGTGGTCTGTGAGCCCACTGGATGCTGCAAGAGCCCTTTGTTCTTTTCGCATAGCAACATTCCTAGCACGTGCCTCACGAGCACGCTCAATGGAGGACTGTTTTTTTCCATGTTCTTCTTCTATCGGGTTCTGCAACTCCTGTCTGAGTAAGGAACTGCCCAGATGACCAAGCGGTCTTCCCCGTTTCTTCTTTGTTTTTGGAGCAACGTCAATTGCTCCATCTGGTGGTCCTTCTTTTGGCACTGGCAATGCATCAAATGAATTCTCGAACAGTGCGTTCCATTCGCCATCCACATCACTGCCGCTATCCAGCTCCATGGCGTTCACTTTATCAAGTGAAGTATATAACCAGGTAATGAGGTGGGTAGGTAATGTGCATCCATGTGCTTGGAAGGTGGTGGATAGGTGTAGTGTAGTGTGGTTTGTGCAGTTAGGGTTAGGGTGGTGATGGCCAGAGAGGGTTGGTTTGTTCATGTTTGTTCTCCTATTGTCCTTTGTTCATTTCTTAAGAGCAAAAGTTGAAATGATTGTATTTATATTCGACCCTCAGCATCTGATATAGCAGCAGCAGGTAGCAACGCGGATTGCGGATAACGGCAGCAGATTCCAATGATGAAAGAATGTCTTAATTGGTCATTCTTTAAGTTAAATACTGCCCTTCCACATAGCCACAGACCTCCTTTGCTTTGCAGCCCGTGAGTGGCTTTCATTAGATTTAGGTTAGTGCCTGAAATGTATATCAGGTACTTGAAAAAGCCATTGAACACTGCCTGTTGCAAACTCTGTTCTGAGATCAAGAAACTATGACAACCATTTGCCAATATTTCAGCCCCCAACCTATCTAATCTATTCAACCATTCTTCATTTCTTGTTGGAATACAACCAGTGTACATCAACAACACAGATTCAGCGGTAGCTATGTTATAGCATATAACATAACAGCTCAACACATCAGGATCTCACAGGCCAGCCCACACCCATTGCACCTGCTGCGGAGTATCTTGATCCATAAATCACTGTTCATCTTGAAGGTGATGACCCAGTAGCCACCCTTCTGCCACTTCTGCTGTCTCATCAATTCTAAGAACCTTGGAAGCCATGGTGGTGCATGGGCGTAGGCATAGTGGCATGACTAGCAGCTAGCTGCTATCCAGCTGGCTGGCATAGCTAGCCAACACAAAGCCTACGGATGACAATTGCTATAGTTACTACTATACTTTACGATATATGCCAGCTGCTAGAACTTACATAGTTGATGCACAAGCTCCTAGCTAGTCTTACTTCTACTGGATTACTAGATTATATATTTAATATATAATATATATATATATGTGGGCAGCAAGACCTTTTCACATGTGCATTGTCCCCTGCACATAGGGCCGCGTCGGGCCACCTCGAGAGTTAAACATTTCGGAATCGTGATTTCATCCAAAGCGACATGCTATTCACATCGCAGCTACTCTCTATTGGATGAAATCTCCGTATGGCCCTGTTCTTTCAGCGACCATTGGCCAATCTCCATAACCCTTCTCAAAAACGACGGCGTCATCTTTTTAGTTAAAGGGTCCGAAATCATGTTTCCTCCTCCGACCCACCTCACCTGACCCGATGAATGTGCCAAGTCACTCTTGAGGATGGTCAGGTCGATGCCAGTGCGCTTGTCATCTATGTGGGCTGAGGTGTTGCGACACTTGGTCATCGTGTCGTAGAGGGACTTTGAGTCTGTGGCTGCAACAAAAGGAAAGCTGGCCAGCTGTGACTCCCATTTATCAATCTGAAGATTGACATCGAACAGCTCGGCCAGCAAGAAGCGATGCCAGTGGAGGTTGCCGATGCCCTGAAGCATCGATTGGCACTCTGCCGACAGGGTGTTCACTGTGCAGCGTTTGAGCTTATAGCTCTTCCAACCAGCAATCGTGATGTCCTGCTTGTGGTCAGAGGTTTCTAGATCCTGGTGGTAGTAGAAAAGGAGGTATCCTCCCTGACTGTGTTTCTTAGCCAGTTGGAGGAATCGTTCAGACAGGGGTTGGTTCGTGACCTTCTTGTCCTTGGACTTGAAGAGGGTGGTGGTACCTGTCCATTGGGCACCTAGGTCTTTGAAACCATCTGCCCCATCCCACCTGTCATGTTCGATCTGGCTTCCAGCTTGTGTTCTCCGGTCTCTAGTGATCTGGTGCAGATCTGGGCCACTTGGATCAATCACTGAACCGGGGTGGAAGGTTAAGCGACGTGGTGCGACATGGTGTCGGACCCAGGTTGTGGGGGTTTCCGTCCAGTAGTCCTTGGTGTTGTCACAGTCGGCATTGGGACCGGCATTGGCCCAAGAAGCATCGGTAGCTACTCCAATCCTGAGCTTGGAGAGTGGTATTGGTTGGATTCTTAATCCCAAGTCAGAGGTTCTTCGGAGGTCTTCTGCGATGCTATTTCCTTCTACAATGTCTCGGATCATTGGGTGAGGCATAGTTTGCTGAAGAAGTGAGACTCGTCCAGCAATGTCTGGTCGACATTCTTTGGCCACCCAACTCAGGCCTCCAATGAGCTGTCGAAGCTGTCCGATTTCTTCTTCCGAGCATCGAGAGTATTTTTGAGCTCCACGTTCACGACTGAGAGGGATCTTCTTGATGTAGTTCTCGATGTAGTTCTTTTGGGTAACTCGAATGGACCCGTTGGCTTCAGGAGTTAGTTCCTTGCCAGTGAATTTCCCTTCTCCCGTAGTGAACTTACCCATCTTGTAGTTCTGTTGAAGCCACTTCATGTTCTTCCAATGTTGTACTCCACCTCCATGGACCATGTCGTCAGTGGCGAGAGCGATGATGCCGACCGTGTTTCTGGTTTGGCGGCATCGGAGGTAGAAAAGACATGGGTCGGCTCGGCTCTTCTCGTACCCCAACTCCTGGAGAACCCTGGTGATGTGTTGGTACCAGGCGTAAGGACCATCGGTGAGTCCATAACAAGTTTTCTTCAAGCGTAGGAGTTGCCGTGGATGATATCCTGGAAGTCCTTCAGGAGGGAGTTCAGCATAAAGTTCCCGAGCTATCAGATCTCCAGCCTGAAATGCTTGGGTGAAGTCCAGGTGTCCGAGTTCCCATCTCATACTGGATATCACTTGTAAGGTGAAGAAAACAGTTTCTTTTGCGACCTGAGGGGTCGTCGAGGCAAGGTCTTCGGCACCTTGTTCCGAGAAGCCTTTCATGACGTGTCTGGCCTTCGCCTTTTGGGGTCCGAGAGATGGATCATTGTCCTCAATGAGTAGGCCGTCTTGTTGGAGCTTCTCAACTTCCTCCACCTCGACCCCCTTCTCCGTGAGGACGTAGCGGGACTTCATGATCTTCTCCGCTTTGGTTCTCCTGATATGTTCGGATTCACCCCGATCGAGGACCTCGTAGGCACCTGAGCTCAGGTTGTTGGTCACCTCCTTGAGGATGGCCTTGAGAAATTTCTCTTTCTTCTTGGCGGGGAGCTTGTTGAGTACAATCTCCTTGCCCTTTTGTGGTCGAAGCCGGACGAGTTCTTGATACATTAGTTCCAGAGCTTCTGTCCTGATTCGTTTGACTGGTGGTTCAGGGTCCTCCACTCTCTCGCGGATCACTGGAGTAGACCGTGGTGACGTGGGTCTCTCCGGGGGCTTGTGGTTGTCCTCATCTTCAATCATCCTTCTCTCACGCTCTTCGTGGGGATCTTGGTCACCTGGTTCGGTAGGTGTGTAGTCATCCATCCTGGGCGACATAGACATAGGTTCCGGATGGTCGAGGTCTCCCTCCAAGGCTGTTTCCCTTTCTTCCGGTTTGAACTCGACCTCGGTCTCTGCTGTTTTTCCTTCAATTCGGTATCGAGGTTTCTTTGGTGGTGGTGGTTCCTCTCCGTCAGGTCGATCACGATCTTCTTCTTGTTCTGGTAAAGGTGCATTCTCGATGGCCGGGGGCTTCTCGTCGAGGATGATATAGTTTCTAATCTTGTGGTTCTGGATCTCCTTCTGGGTGTTGACAATGTCGGTCAAGAAGTCCATGAACTGGAACTTTTCGTCGTTGGTTATGGGACGAAGGTGTTCGGGAGCTGCTTTCACGAGAGTTCCTCTATAGCTGACCCATATTGTGTTCGGGAGGTCCGTGAGGATGACCTTGCCAGGCCCATGCCAAAAGGCTGGAGAGTCCTTCTTCTGTCGTTCCATTCCCTTTCTCCAGAAGTAGACCGTCTGACCCACCTCATAGTCGTAGAACCGTTTGGGGCCTGCATAGACCGAGTGTTTCAAGGCTTGTTCGCACTCGACTTGATGGAATGCAACAGCGGCTTGGGTTCGAATGTCTGTGGATCGTTGAACTTGTGCATCACCTGCGTGATAACGGGACATCACTCCGATGCTACCTTCACCTCCTTGAAAGATGCCTCCTGGAAGTCTGGGACTGTAACCAAGCATCCGTTGAATGGGGCTGAAGCCGGATTTGTTGGACAGGCGGTTCATGGTAGCGTTGACCTCGTCCACGATGAGGTGCCACTCGTCCCAAGATGAGCAACCTGCTTCCATTAGCGTTTTTGAGAGGACTTCTTTAAAGCTTCTACCAGCTCGTTCCGTGATGGCTCTTTGAGTTGGCATCTCTAAAGATCCTGGGTCCAGGTAGATGTCGTTCTGGTCCGCCATGAGCTCGAAGTGTCCTTTGAACTCTTTTCCCAGGTCACAATAGATGGCCTCTGGTGGTCCAAAAACTCTGAGCCACTGGTGAAAGGCCCGAACTGCTCCTTGAGGTGTGTGGTCTTTTACGGGGATCATCAACTGAAATCTAGTAGCCCAGCAAACGCAGTTGAGGGCCATCTTGAGTTTGCCGCCAGGTTCAACTCCCGGTAGCCATACGGTGTCCACTCCCACCACCTGATTTGGTTTCAACTGTCTGGGAGGAGCGGCCTGTCGTGCCCCATCGATTCTTTTGTGTCTGATGCAAGTCGGGCACGCAAGATTCTTG